TTTGATGTTGAGAAGTTGAGTTATGAGAATAGAGTTATTTCACTTACAAGTTTTACTAGTCAATATCTCAAGTTATAAAGTATGATTCATATAAGTTGATGGATTATAATTTAGTAAAGTATTCAAGTTATATTTTATGATAAGTGCATGATATGTTATATATGTGATATGGTATATTTTCATGAGTAAAAGACCAAGTTTGAATGAGATGTTTAGTATTTATCTCATGTTGATGAATGTTTCATATTTTTATGGAATAAGTGAAGATATATGTTGAGAATAATTTTATATAAATTGTTTCAAGTGTTACATATAATCATGATGTTATGATGTATGAGTTATTTTCACCTTCAAGTTATGTAAATGATATGTGAGTTGAAGACTTTATTTATATGAGCTATTTGATAGCTTGAGTAATAGTTTGAGAAGTTAAGTTGTTCGATGAATTAATTCGACTATATCAAGATATTTAAGATTTGGATAAGTAATAAATCAAAGTTAAGAACTTAAAAGTCTTATTGAGAATATTATGAGCATAGTACTTAGTATATTTGTTTATATTTTTATGTAGTTGCAGATACAGCTACAGCACAGCACTTACGTTTTTCAAAAGTTTTCAAGACGAAAAGGTGGGAACCAGTATGAGTAGTACATTGAGTATAAAAGTTAAATCGTGATCAAAGGTATGTATATGAGTTATGCTTGGGATGGAGGCGCAGTAGTCTTAATCCTAAGTAAGTTAATTCTCGCTCAGTCCAGACTGAGTTTTGGGGAGGCAGCCCCCAATATGTGCACATGAGGACCGGCAGTACGGGAGTTGCAAAGTTTAGTTTTAGTTACCAGCCTATGGCTGGGAGATTACAGTTTACTTATATATACCTGAGATCATGATTCTGAGATTGATATTATTTGTTCCCACTGAGTACAATTGAGTAAGTACTCATTCCCCACTAATATCATTTTCAGGTAACAGGGTCGGTTCGAGGATGTGAGTCAAGCTATCGTGGTGTTGGTTGAGTTTTCAAATATGATTTCACTTGCAAAATGGATTTTATATCAAGTTATGAGTTATTAAAGTGTGCTTGTGAAATTCAATAAGGCAACGATTTGTATATGCCACGCTTAAAGACTTCCGCTATGTATAGTAAGTTTGAACTGGTGTGATTTAAAGGTGTTATTTAAGAAAGTTTTCTCGTTTATTTTATAAATGAGATAAGTAATCATACTTGTTTAATAAAGATGAGTTTTAGTAGCATCCTGAGTTAAAATAAGTTGCGAAAAATTTACTCTGATAAGCGGGGTGTTACACATGCAGTCGCGCTGCTTCCATGGCAGCCCTTGTAGACCTTGGCCTGTCCAATCGTACCTCTGCAGCCAACTCAGCCTTTAAGCATCCTACAAACGCACCTACTAGTGCCTTTTTGGGCCAATCCCGAACCCGGCTTTCTATCCTCTCAAACTCCTTCTGATAGTCGCGTAGACTACCGGTTTGGCGGATCCTTGTCAGCGCCTCATCATAATCAAAGTATTCGCTATATCCAAACTTGGCAATAAGCTCCTTCTTAAAATCTCACCACCTGATTTGCTCGCCTTTATTTTTATAAACATGTGACACCCATTGCCACCATGTGTTGGCTTCCCCATCCAAGTAGTAGGCAGCAATTTGAACTCTTTCAGACTTATGTACCTCATTGATCTCGAAGAATTGCACGGCACGACTTAACCATGCATCCGGATCTACTCCTTCGAACGTTGGCATCGTTATCTTCAATTTCGCACGTACGTGCTCCTCGCGATGATGTCGATGTCCATGCGTCCTGCGATCGTCGTGGTGTCGGGTAGTGCGCGTCGCGCGCGTTTCCCACGACCGTTCGTCGTCGTCATCACGACTAGACGTCCAACTGTCCGTTCCCGCCAAGGTTTATCTCGATGTGCGGCTCCTCCGCGTATGGTGGTTGACTCTTTCGAGCTGTCCCGCCAAGTCGTGTATCATCAGCTCCAACTTTGCCATGTTTTCATTGAGCACGTGTTGTTCGTTGCCAAGGGACCTCACGCTTTCCTCAAGTGCATCGAATCTCTCACGATTCGTCATGACTCTCTCTTTTTTTTTATTCTATAAAAATTCGAACAAAAGTCGAACCAAAAAGAAAAAAAAACAAAAGAAATTCGGCCCCTCAACAAAAGGTAATAACCGAACAAAAATCAAACAAAGGACTAGATGACACTTTTTTTTAAGACTCATGAAATTTTTTGAAAATTTTTGGGAAAAATCCGAAAAAATTCGAACAAAAAGACTCAAAAAATCGAACAAAAAAAAAAGAATGGGATAGAAAAAGTTAAACGAACACCCAATCGATCACTCTCAATGAAAGAACCAATGGTGACGGATCGTGTGTTTGTTACCCTCGACTTGTCTCGATCACGGCTTCGCCACGGCCTTGCTCTCGACGATAGGTGTGATCGACTCGGTTATTAGCCTAACTCTCTCACGATACTTGAGTTCACTCGGGTATTAGCCTCGCTACACTCTTTTGAACTGGCTTGGGTCTTAGCCTCACCAATTCGGTTGCATGATCGAATTCTCACTAACCCTAACACACGGTTTGAACAAACGTTCCTTTTCTATTTCATCAAATCCAAGACCTCTTGAAAACAATGAGGGATGCTCCCTATTTATAGATCCTAACTATGACTAATTCTAATCTACCTAGGAAACATATTAAAGCAATAAAATATTAAATTCCTAAACAATCTAGATATTATTGTGCAAGAAGGAAACTAAATATACTAGAGTCCTAGTTGACTAGATCTTGATCTTGCTTGGCTTGCACTCCAAACAATTCAATTCTTGCCCCAAGTCTTCACCGCCCTACTTCGCGCACGCCGCCTTCACGTTGCCTAATCCTTGTCGCGCGAGGCTTCGCGCGTGCGCGTCTCCCACGTCTGCGTGCACAGCCTCACGCTCGCCTAGTCCTGCACGGACTGGGCTTCGCGCATCTGCCCACCACGCGCGCGTGATGCGGAAGTGGCTTTTGAGGCCCGAGCACGTCGAGAGTCGATGGCCGAGGCGATCCAAAAAGGGCGAGAAAAAGGCCAACACCACGCATGCATGGCCTAAGAGACGAGTACGAGCTCGTATGCGAGGCGCACAAACACGCGAGAAAGGGCGCATTCAAGAAGGGCGCACACACTGGCGTAGACGCGCATGGCGCTTGATGGTTTGGCGAAGGGGCGCGCAGGGGGTGGATGTTGGGTGGTCAATGCGCGCGAGAGATTACCGCGGGTGGACGGAACAAGATGATATACGCACGGTAAGCGGGCAAGCCACGGGGGTCGATTGGGACGTGTTGGCGTTTGGCCGGAACGCGGATGATAGCGGCGAACGGCTGGGGGGCGTAAGGCGCGCATCGGATGATGATGCGCGAGCGTCGGTTGAGCGCAAGGTACTGGACAAGCGCGGCGGTAGCGCTGGGACGCTGGACGTGTGCAAGGTGCGCACGGGTTACGGGCGTCCGCACGCGAAGGATGAGGACACGCCAATAGGCGCGCGGGCAGCTGACGAGCGCGATAGCGCGCGCATGAGAGATAGACGCCCGGGAGTCCTAGGCCTGGAAGGACTAGGCAGCGCAAGGACGGTGGGTGCGCGATTCCTAATGCACGGAGGCTTAGGCGAGGCGCGTGTGCGAAGTGAGGCGGCGCACGCATGTGCGACGCGCGAGAGATGGAAGGCGGTGCGAAAAACGGCCGAAAATACCTATGGACGTGTGCAATGGAAATTGTTTGGAGTGCAAGCCAAACAAGATCAAGACAATCTAGTCAATTAGGACTCTAGGATATTTAGTTTCCTTCTTGCACAACAATATCTAGATTGTATAGGTTATTTAATATTTAATTGCTTTAATTAGAGATTTAGTTGGAATAGGAATTATTTACTGCACAGTTTAGAAGATCTAGTTAGATTAGAATTTGATTTAGTTTTGTCCTATAAATACCCATGTCCCCTATGTTATTTTAAATAATTGAATCATCCAAGAATTAATATAAACTCAAGAACTTTTGTTCATCCTCTTTGCTTTAGTTTTTTCACCAAAATTCTATTGCAATTATATTCGTTAGAAAGG